GGTTATTAAATGTGGGTAATCATTTTTTAGTTGTTCAAACTGAGCGGATGGCCTCTCTTCTCTCTCTTTGAAAAAAAGATCCCCAAATCTCCTTGCCCTAAAATTTGCGACTGGTACGCCTTCTCCGGTGGGACGCCAACCGTTTTGACGGCGGTTGACCCTTGGCTGCGCGTCTCTCTCTCGGTGGTGCCGATTGTTCGTCTGCTCGAGCCAGCAGGGTGGGCGATGGTCCAAGGGGTTTCACCATCTTTCGACGCCTCTTCGGGCTGGTGGTCTATCAATTATCCTGGGTGGCGAGGTTGTGGAGGACGCCGGTGCTTTTGATGGGAAGGGTTGCGGCTCCGACAGCCGGATTGTGGGGGTCGGTCGAAGTAGAGGAGGTATGTCTCTTTTCCTGTTTTCCTTTGGCTCCTGGAGCGCGGGTCTAGGGTGCTGCTGGCACGATGAGTCTTGGTTTGTGGTTTGAACAGATCTCGAGGAGATGGTGGTGCGATGGGGGGTTTGGTTCAGCTTTCTCCGGCTGAGGGTGGGGTCGGCTGCTCGAGTGCACGGTCGAGGTTCTAGGGTGTAGCTCCAGTTAGGTGCGTTTGTTTCAGTTTCTGGTGTTGGGGTCTGGGGCGAGTTCCGGTCCGTATGCGTGGTTGGCCATTGGTATTGCTGTCGAAATGGCTTGGCGTGTTCCCGGCCGTGAGAAGGGCTTTATCCTTTATTTCTTTATGTTGTGTTTTTTGTTTGTGTCTTGTGGTGTTTTGTTAGTGTTTGATGTGTTTTGTTTTATTCTCCTTTGGAGGAGCGTAGTATTCTTATGTGGGGAGTTAGGGTCATTCTCCTGGGGGGAGTTAGTGTCATTCTCCTTAGGGAGTTTTTATTCTTCTTTTTGTGCTGTATTGTGTGTTGTGGCATCTAGACTGATCTTGACCGCGCGTCGCAACGCGGCAAAATTAATATTTATATTTTTCTTTAACTTACTTCTACCAACTAGTAGTTGTAGCGAGCAAGGGTCGAACCCACAGGGAGTGTGAATTAAATTGTGAATTTCTCGTATTAATTGAAACTAACAAAGCAATAAATGGGGGGGATTGATTAAATAACTAAAATCCTAATGAAATAAATAAAATCTAAACAATAAAAATAAAATAAAACAAATAAGAGAAATATCTAGTTCACGGTTCCATCTACACTCCTCGACTGACTCGTCTAATCAACTTTGGTATCAACTCTCACTATCTATGGAATTACTAGCCCTAGGTAACGCCACGGGCTGTTACCTGAATTTTTCCTTATTTTTAATCTAACCGCGAGACACTCTACGATTAGACCTGACTTCTTGTACAGTCCAGAAAGACGCTTTCAAGATTTAATACAATTAGCCGCTTTACGAATTAGAAAAATAGGCTAGACTAATTAGTGAACTCAAATGCGTTCGTTCACTTAATTAGGCCGTGTTATCCCCGGTAGTTACCATCTTCCGGTTACCTCTTAGGAATTAAACACAACAACAATTACGGATTGAAGGTCTAATTCAGATGTAGATATGCAACGCCTAATCTAGGTGATCAATCTAAATCAAACTCAACACATCATGGTTAATTATTCAAAATAACACAAGCAATTCCAAAAAGATAATTAAATTATCAACCAAAAAGGTTAATCAAACTTCATCAAGTCGTAGGGTTCGACATTGTTTACTGTGTTTTTGTCGTTATCTTCTTGTGTTTTATGTGTTTTATTTTGTGGTTTTTAGGTCCGTTTTTAGACTCGACCGGTCCATTTTATCGTGTTTTGTGTATTTTTGTTATTGTATAGTG